CTCCTCCGGGCGACCCTGTCCGCCCTCCTGCTTGGAATACACAGGGAAAGGGGACAAAATCCATGGATTTGGGACGCTGGTGTGCAGCGTTCTCCTCCTGGCAACCCTGTCCGCTCTCCCCCCTGGCATATGCAGAGAAAGGGGACAAAATCCATGGATTTGGGACGCGGGCGCGCGGCACGCTCCTCCGGGCGACCCTGTCCGCTCTGCCGCCTGGAATACAGGGGGAAGGGAGCCAAAACCCATGGGGAAAGGGGCCAAATCCATGGATTTGGGATGCTGGCACATGGTGCGCTCCTCCTGGCATCCTTGTTTGTCCTCCCACATGGAATATAGAGGGAAAGGGGCCAAATCCCGGGATTTGGGACGCGGGCGCGCGGCACGCTCCTCCTGGCGACCCTGTCCGCTCTCCTGCCTGGAATACAGGGGGAAAGGGGACAAAATCCATGGATTTGGGATGCTGGCACATGGTGCGCTCCTCCTGGCATCCTTGTTTGTCCTCCCACATGGAATATAGAGGGAAAGGGGCCACATCCCGGGATTTGGGACGCGGGCGCGCGGCACGCTCCTCCTGGCGACCCTGTCCGCTCTCCTGCCTGGAATACAGGGGGAAAGGGGACAAAATCCATGGATTTGGGATGCTGGCACATGGTGCGCTCCTCCTGGCATCCTTGTTTGTCCTCCCACATGGAATATAGAGGGAAAGGGGCCACATCCCGGGATTTGGGACGCGGGCGCGCGGCACGCTCCTCCTGGCGACCCTGTCCGCTCTGCCGTCTGGAATATGCAGGGAAAGGGGCCAAATCCATGGCGAAAGGGGCCAAAATCCATGGATTTGGAACGCATGCCTTTCCTGGAAACCCTGTCTGGTCTCCCGTCTGGAATACAGAGGGGAAAGGGGCCAAATCCATGGATTTGGGACGCTGGCGCGCAGCACGCTCCTCCGGGTGACCCTGTCCGCTCTCCTGCCTGGAATATGCAGGGAAAGGGGACAAATCCATGGATTTGGGATGCTGGTGTGCAGCGTTCTCCTCCTGGCAACCCTGTCCGCTCTCCCGCCTGGAATACAGAGGGAAAGGGGACAAAATCCATGGATTTGGGATGCTACTGCGCAATGTGCTCCTCCTGGCAACCGTGTCCGCTCTCCCGCCTGGAATACAGAGGGAAAGGGGACAAAATCCATGGATTTGGGATGCTACTGCGCAATGTGCTCCTCCTGGCAACCGTGTCCGCTCTCCCGCCTGGAATACAGAGGGAAAGGGGACAAAATCCATGGATTTGGGATGCTACTGCGCAATGTGCTCCTCCTGGCAACCCTGTCCGCTCTCCCACCTGAAATATGCAGGGAAAGGGGCCGAATCCATGGATTTGGGATGCTGACGTGCGGCGCGCTCCTCCGGGCAACTCTGTCCGCTCTCCTGCCTGGAATACAGGGGGAAAGGGGACAAAATCCATGGATTTGGGACACTGTCATGCAGCGCGCTCCTCATGGTGACCCTGTCCAGTCTCCCACATGGAATACAGAGGGAAGGGGACAAAATTCGTGGATTTGGGAAGCTGGCGTGTGTCAAGCTTGTGCCAGGTCGTTATCTCCTTTCCCACCTGGAGTAGGGAGGGAAAGGGATGAAATCCACGGATTTGGGAAGGGATTTGGGGGCGTTTTGGGTTTCCGAGCGCTGCATGTGCCGGGTCGAAGGGAACAAGTTAATGCGCAACCAGCCCATCCGCTCTCCCACCTGGAAAAGCGGGAAAGGGGGTAAATCCACGGATTTCGGGTTAGTGCCCAGCGAGTTCATCCCACACCTCCATCCGCTCTCCCACCTGGAAAAGGGGGAAAATTCCTGCGCTGGCCCCGGACCTTTGGAGCAACCGGAAAGCAGGGGGTGTTGGGGGGATTTTAATGGATCCGACTGTTTTTCGGAGTCGGAGCTTCCGGCGGCAACGCGGAAAAGGCCCTCGGAGCCTCTCACCCTTTTTCACTTCTGCTTTTTGCTTCCCAGGGGACCAAAACGGAGCTTTTTCCGCTCGCCGGAAACTGCCCGTGGCCCTCGGGGCCGCTCCGGAACGCCGTGCGGATCCGGATATCCGGAATCCGCCTCCATCCCTGTTTCCTATCCCGCAGGTTCTCTACATCCAGGCCTTCGTGCTGGTTTTCCTGCTGGGCAAGTTCATGGGCAAAGTGTTTTTCGGGCAGCTCCGGGCGGCGGAAATGGAGGTGAGCGCTGGAAAACGGGACAATTCCCCCCAAAAGCAGCGCCCGGGATGAGGGAGCGGGGAACGGATCCATTCCGGATTCCGATCCCGCTCCGGGAAACCCCTTTCCATCCCAAACGGGACTAAAAGGGGCAGCGAAGAGGGGTGATTTGGGGGTTCTTTTGGGGATGTTTTTGGCTCTGGCCGAGCCGGGAAGAGGCTCGGGAATTCCCGGCGCTTCCCGCGAGATTCCCGGCGTTCCGCAGCACTTGCTGGAGCGCTCCTGGTACGCGGTCACCGAGACCTGCTTGGCCTTCACCGTCTTCCGCGACGACTTCAGCCCCCGCTTCGTGGCCCTCTTCACCCTCCTCCTCTTCCTCAAGTGCTTCCATTGGCTGGCCGAGGACCGCGTGGATTTCGTGAGTATCCCGAAATGGGAATGGGCGGAGCGGCTCTTTTTTTTTGGGAATCGCAGCGCCTTTTCCCTCCCTTTCTCCGTGCAGATGGAGAGGAGCCCCAACATCTCCTGGCTCTTCCACTTCCGCATCGTCTGTGAGTAGCTCCGGAATGCCGCTCCGGGTTATCCATCGTCCATTGTTTTTCCATCGGCAACGGATCAGCCGAGCGATGACCTTATCCTAACACAGCGACTCCGGCACTGCCGCCTTCCCACTCCCTTCTTGGGGCTCCGATTTGTCAGGGATTTACAGGAATCCCAGCTCGGATCCGCAGGGAGACAACCGGATCCGCAGCCGAGTGTTTTCGGAGTGCGGATTTGGAGGCATGGAAACGGCTCCGGAAGGAATTCCGGGAGGGTTTAGCCGTATGGGGCTCCATTTGGCCCCAGCGAACATTCCGTAGGTGCTTTTGTTATCCCGGAGCCGTTAGTAAATCCTGGAGCTGTGAAACCAGCTCCGCTTGGATCCATCGGATCCAACGGATCAAGGACGATCTCCCGAACCGCTTCGGGGATCGTTTTGGGATGCACCGAGTGCCTCAAAGCCCCTTAATTTGGGATTCTTCCTCATCCACCCCAGCAGGTTTATCTTCCGCCTTTCCCTGACGCT